AGATCTTCACACTCCTGAAACGAATCACCTTCCACCTGTGACTTTACTTCCAAGTCTACCCTGATTTCTGAGTTGTTCTTTTGTTCTGGCAGCTCTGTGCATGCGCACACTGGGAACAGGCTCCAGCAGTTCCTCTGCTTCACTGCTGTCTAGCTCCATAGGCACCTGATGACTGCCAGGCAGCCTTGGCCCCGTCTCTGCAGCAGATGCAGAGCCCTCGTCCGAGCCTTCCCCAGCCTCCAGGACTGGCCCATGCTCCTCCCCAACCTTCTCACTGTCCGACTCTGCTGCCAGCTCTGCTGGTGGGCCGCAACACAAACCTTTTGTGACAAGCATTCAAGACATCGTATACCTAGTATTACTTCCTTCTATTCTCCTCACAATTATAACCCCGAGATTCGGTTAGATTGAGAGAAAATGATTGGTTCAAAGTCACTTGGTTCCCCCAATCTTGGACTAGAGCATCAACTATTACATTACACCGTCTTTTTCCAGCCTCATGAGGAAAAACAGGAAAAGACACTATTAGGACCTCAAATTTATAGTCCTAATCTGGCTCACAGGCTGCCTCATCTGACAACAGGACCTCAAGGGAGACCATTCTTTTCTCCTTTGAGCAAAACGAGTAGTAGATAAAACTGCTCCACATTTTTCTGCTTTGTCCTACACTGAGTGCTTTTCTCAGTATAGGAGGGAATTCTTCCTGTAGGATGCGCTGGACATGCTTATGCTGAGGTGGGCACTTAATAGATTGATAAGGACACAGGGGATGCTTTTGTAAAAGAACTACCTCCTTGCTAATTCATAAGAACGTTCTTAGAACCCGAAGGAGTCTCTGCCCTAATACAGGTAGTCCTCAATTTACAACTGGTTGGTTAGTGAGCGTTTAAATTTATGATCTACCTGAAAAAGGGGACTTATGATGTAGATTCAAAGCAGTGGTGGAATTTAAATTTTTTTCCTACCGGTTCTGTGGGCGTGGCTTGGTGGGCGTGATCATGTGACTGGGCAGGTGTGGCTTGGTGGTCATATGGCTAGATGGGTGTGGTTTGGTGGTCATGTGACCAGGTGGGCATGGCTGCACAACTGACTCACACACAATGTAAAAGGAGCTGGACTTCACACAAAATGTCCAGATATTGTAAAATTAATGAATATCCAATATCTCAGGAGTTGCCACAAAGAAGAGGGAGTCAAGCTATTCTCCAAAGCACCTGAGGGTAGGACGAGAAGCAATGGGTGGAANTGCAGTGACTCTGTGGTGCGTCATAAGGGCACAAAACCTCTTCAGCCATCATAACTTTGAAATGGGGTCATATGTAGGCTTCTGTCATAATTTTGTATGGAGGCTGTATACCTATTCTAATAAATGGGAGCTTTGAGAAAATGCCTGTATCGGAGTTGGGGACTTCAGGAACGCTGACATTAGGGTAAACAGTAACAGAAAAAAGAAAAAAGAAGCATTGACTTCCAACTTGTTTTAGCACAGTAAAATAAGGTAATAGGATACATCCTCAGCTATTTACTTTGTATAACAACAAACCTATCACATTCTCTCTCTCTCTTTCTCCCTCTCCTTTTCCCTCTCCCCCTCCTCTCTTTTTATCTTATATACACTTTATACATACACTTTTTTTTTCTTATGTACTACTATTTATCTAATTTATACATATAATCACACTATTTAAAGTGCACCTTTGGTCCAGGTAATCCAATCCCATCTGGGCCTGCCTCTCCAGGAACTCCAGGAAGACCAGGAGGACCCTGGTGTAAGGAAGTAAATAGATTTAACTGTTAATGGTTCTGAACTGCTCGCAGTTCCTACTCTTTCTTACTGTGATTCACTGTTCAACACTCTCTTTTTAAGTAACAGCAAATGTTGACTACTTACAGGTAGGCCTGGATAGCCATCTCCCTTGGGGCCAAATGGACCAGGAAGTCCTGGCTGTCCACGGTCACCCTTTTTACAAAGAAAGACATAGTTACATGTTGTTATAGCTGCAGTTACACTCCGTAGAATACTTTTCCTTTAAAGGAACTGGTATGGAACCAATGTGGTTGTTACCTTAGCCCCAGGAATTCCTATCCCTTGCTCTCCAATTGGCCCCGGTGGCCCAGGTAATCCAATGTCACCCTTCAATTATAAGACAAACAATGATTGTTGTTGTTGTTCCATTGATCTATTGGATTTATGGCAAACTGTTCTGATCTAGGGTTCCCCAAAAAGCACGAGGCAGAGTCCTGGTCCCGACAAAACCCCTTTTATTAAACAAATGGGAATTCCTCTCATTCACATTCAGCATGGCCTGGCCAACAGTCTTTCGAAGGAATATTTATGACTACAGACCTTATCTATCTTGGAAAGCTGCCATGTAAATATTTTCCAAATG